GGTTGGGGTTTCGGGTTTAGGGCCTAGGGTTTAGGGCCTAGGGCTTAGGCTTGAGGGTTTAGGGCCTATGGCTTTGGGCTCAGTCAGGGTTTGGGGTTCAGGGCTTCAGGTGCGAACTTGAGGGCTTGCTGGCCTTTCGCTTGCGATTGAGAGCCAAACATATCGGGCTCGGATTTGCCTAGAGGTTTTACAATGGATTTGGGAGGGGGGTGTAGGCGGTTTAGTGTTGAGGGTGTTGCGTTTGGAGGCTTGGTAGATTCCACTTTCTTGGTGGAGGCTGAAGATTTGTGCACGAGGGCGGCGCACGCCGAGTTCCCCGGCCCTACACCATGCACCTGCTCAGCATGATGTGCCCACTCAGCAACGGTGCTCGTGTTGCAGTTTTCCCTACTTCCCCGAGTCCGCTTGTGGCATTTTGCGTGAATATCAACTATGCGCAAACACGCAAGTCCAGCATGACGGCCCACGCAGACGGCATCACAAGCGAGCTGGACCTGGCCATACAGCAACAAGTCACCGAGCGAGTCTCTCAGGAGCCGGATGAAAGCCATAAAAGTCTGGAGGAACATCCAGATGGAATCCCTCACGCCCGTGCACCTCGTCCTCCTCCTCATCCGCGTCTTCATTCTGTTCAGTCCTCACAACTGCGTAGTAGCCCTTAGCCTTGAACCCCTAAACTATTAGGCCCTAAATATCAACCGCCCAATGCACCCCCGCCAAAAGCCTTCATCTCGACACGGTTTTTGTTGCTTGTTCCGGCTCAGGTCTGAGTATGGCAGAAGCAGCTTGGCAACATCATGTGGTGGAGTTCGACACTGTATATAGGATCACAAAATTGGTTATGTCGTTCATTTGTAAAAACCACCGAAGCCTCAAGCCCTAAAGCATGAACACACATGTGTACATAGACATAGAGACATAGATAGATGTATCGGTGGAGGCCCATTCTTGCCTAAGCCCTCAACTTTCATAGGCAACACGAGGGATGTATGGCGCCATCAGCCATACCAAGAACATCTAAGCTGCCAAGTCTCTCAGCTGTGTCTCTCAACGACAATGACTTGAAAAGTGCGGAGGGAGCTCCAGGGCCCCAAGTGTGCTTTAGGAGCCTAAATAATTAGTTAGCCTAAATAGTTATGAAAACGACCCCGGGGTTCTTTAAGTTTTTGTCAGCTATAGTATATTATACCCCAAAGCCTTATTCTAATTAGTAAGGCTTCTACATTACCATGTTGGAAGCTTGAGCTTTGAAAGCCTAACCCGAATCCCTACGCCCTAAACCCGAAACCCACACCCCAACCTACACTGTACTACACTGCAAGGGCCATACAGTTTCTTTCATTCCAAACGGGCTCCAAGTTGTCGGCTGCTTGAAGAGATGGGCAGGGGCATGCAGTGTTATGTAGGGCTTAGGGGTTTAGGGTTTAGGAGTTTTTGCAAAAAAGGAGCTTTATGAGTAGTGCCAGGGCAGTGATGCTTACAAGCTCTTTACCCTTCACCTGAAGTGTTCCAGCCCTAGTTCCGTAAAGCTGCAAGCCTGCTCCGGTATATAGGCTTCATGGAATTGGGGATCTTGGTGTGGGCTTTTGGAGTTTCGTGGTTGATTCCCGGGTAAAGGGTGAGCGATCAGGGTTTACATGGGCTCAGGGTTCCAGTTCCAGCCTAGCGATGCGAAGAGTTGTGTTCTGATGAAAACACTGCCGCTGAAGATGCTTCATTTCTCGAGATCTGCAGGTTTGGGAGCAAATTTGGAGGACCTGCCAAAGCCTCAAAGCCATAAACGCTAGACCCTTACACACCCGTGCTGTGGTTTAGGTGATTCAACTCTTGTCTCGCATTGCAGTCATGAGTACTGTCTTGTGGGTCAAGCTGGCCCGTAAGGGCAGCAGTCGAGGCCCTTGTGAACAAAAAAAGGGCTTATAGGGTTGCAGCACAGGTTTCGGAAGATGCGAGACACTGCTGCTCACAGCGACTCAGTCTTAGATTGACATCTTGAACACTTGCAGCCCCTCGGCATTAGCACCCCCCCAACCCCTAAGATTCCTTAGATGCAAACATTCTTGTGCGAACTTCTTGAGACATACCATGACATGCAGCGGGCCGCGAAAGCCACGCTGCCGACTGCCGGATGAATCCACGTTTGAGTGCTGGCTATGGGCCTGCGAGCCTCCTTCCTGCGTTTAATCTAAGGCTTACCGGTCTGTTTTTGCTATCCCCGTGTATCTATGTAGTTACATATATAATGCTACCCCAAAACCATGTTCTTTTCCTAAGGCTTCTGTCTTAGTGAGCTGTGTTGTGTGTTGTCCATCCGATCCATCATAAGGCCGTGGTTAAAGCAGGCAACTAAAGGCCATACCAGCCAAGATAGCTGCAACCACAGCCAGGACAACCACACCGACCATCACAAGCACCTTACTATCAACTCGGAGTGACAATGACAACGACCCTCGGGGTGCCAACAAAAGAGATGATGTCAAGTGGGGTGCCGGAATGAAGCTCGGGGTCACTCTCTCGCACTGAATGCAAGTATATACTCTTCCGTGTGTTGTCGTCATAGTTTCCCAGTGCAGACATCGAACACGAAACAAGAGCCTATTACCAACAGTATGATAGCCATAATAGCAGCCAGAACAACTAGCCCCCTTCTCCGGCCACACCGACGAAGGTGGAGAAGAAGATTTATTGGGCGCCCTAGTGGCAGCGCAGGACCACTGCCTGAAGATCACCGTCTTCTTGGAAAAATTTACGACACCGGTCAGGAGCACGCATACGCATGCACTCGGGATAGTGCATAGCACGGTCGAACAGCACAGCAGCATGCCTGACGAAATGGCCCAACAGTACTACTAGGAAGGCTGGCTGCAGCGGTTAAAGTCAACACTGAAAGCAATATTTGCACCACGCCGGAATGAGTTGCACTGATGGCCCAAAGGCGATTTCCCTCTAAAATCACGGCACATGCAGTACATCATTTAGCACCTGTAGCGGCATTGTGCATGACATATTGCTTTGAACAAGGCCGTGCAGCGAAATCGAGCTGTGTGAGACGATGGGGGGGCACAGGCACGGGGTACCAGAAACACAGCAACAACACAATACCATGCAAACACTCATGATTTCAACAGACATGTAGCAACTACATCGTCACCAGAATAGCAGCATTGCCACAGCTGCGCGCCGTTAAGGGCAACTGGAAGGCCTTCGTATGCAAATAACAAGGGCTTCTTCAGCTTCGTGCCTGGATGTGCAGTAAGTTCTGCAATAGTAGTTGCGGTTCTCAGTTCTCCCGGCGGGTGCCATGCAGAGTGTATGCGAGGTTTCGGTCAGTGGAGTCGAGGCCGGACTAAGGCTAGGGGGTTGAGGCTGAGTTTTAAGTGCCACATTGCGGCAAGTCCCAGGGGGACTTCTTGGACACAGAGGCTCTCGCAAAGCGGCCTTAAGTGCGGGAGGGAGAGGGAGAGAGAGAGAGAGAGAGAGAGAGACAGAGAGCAGTTTTTCAGGGCGTCGCTATGTTCTTGTCCTCTTTTTATCAGAACTCGTCCGTCGTCCAACCTTCCTTTCGCACAAAGCCAAGAAACTTAACTTTTCTCTTATATCTGAAAAGACGCAGTGGAAGGAGCGCCTCAGCCATGCGCACAACCTCAGTGAGCTTACGGAGCGGCGTCAGGTGGATCATATTTAACCGGCATGAAGTTCTATGATCAGTGTTGGATGCCATGATTAACGGTAACCCTTACATGCTGCCCAAGCATGGGTACTAGCAGCCACATTTGTTGAAGTCAAAGGCTGTTACTGAAGTTGTTGGAACGGAAAGTCAGATCATAAGGCAGACTGTCTCGAGGAATCATGAGCTCAAAGGTTAGAAGTATGGGCCCCTAATATGGACCCGAGGCCTTTTTAGGGACCCATTAAAGGGAAATCTAGGGTATATAGCAGGACTAGGGGCCCATGGTTTCAACCTTGGATGAGCATAGAGCACGCTGGATCTGTTTAACATCTGGTTTTTGAAATTTGGCACTAGAGTCGGCTTGGTCGACAGTTGAATGTTAAGTCCGAAAATCTGTGTGCTGGGCTTCTAACAGTTAAAGCCTTGTTCAAGTGATTCATCGAAAATGCAGCTCACAGCCCTTGCAGCCGCTTCGACATGCCAACGCCCACCCTGAGAGGAATGCCAGCGCTTGGCCGAACGACTGCGCCAGATGGGCCAATACATGGACCCTGAGGAGGTCCGAGCGGTCTACCTACTTATTTGCTTGCTTACTTCCCTACCTACCTACATACCAACCAACCAACCAACCTACCTACCCACCCACCCACCCACCCACCCACCCACCCACCCACCCACCCACCGACCTACCTACCTATCTACTGCTACTCCTGCCACTACAGCCGTTGCTGCTGCTTTCTCCCTTTTGTTCAAGAAAGTCACGAGTGCATCTAACGTGCTGCTAACAAGCAGCCTTTCAGAAGGTCAAACACAGGAGTGACAATCATAACGACGTGGGCAACCCATTTACTTCACGTTCATCATGGCCGTCATTGTCATTCCTCAGCATCGTTCTCGTCCTCGTGATCTGCATCAGGATGCCTCGGCTGCCGTGCACCCTGCGCCACACCCTCGGATCCGCAGAGACACCTGGCTACTGGTCGGCAGCAGGTGACAGATCTTTTAGAGCCAGGGAGGTCTCCAGAACGGACAGTTTCGGGTTCAGGATTTTATTAGGGTCACCGAGCATGAGCGGGATCGGGTTAACAGCCGCATGATGCGTGGGTTTTCATGGTGCGCGAGAGCAGTTGAAAAGCGCTACACCGTGTGCATTCTTTAGACAGGAATTCCGCAGACGAGGCCTTCATGTACTGCCAAAAGCCTGTTCACATGTCTTTCAGGCAAGAGCTAGCAGCTAGACCATGGTCTTTTTGTGGGGCACTGTTTGCGGCACTCTCCAACATTCTCTGCTGTGCCGAAATCGTTTCGAACACAGCAACATTCGAATGACATGGATGTCAGGCACGCCCCAGACCAGCATGACAGCGGCATCAATGAGCAGCTTCTGGCCATCAACAAGGCTTTGGAAGCCTCTGCAGTGAGGTCGCTCAAGTTTCTTTCATGTGCAATTCCTGTTTGAGTGCCCTGGGTCTGGATCCTGCTGGAGGTCGCATTGTGGGCGGTTATCCTCTGTATGTACCTGCCGACGAACTAGCCAAGAGCTTGCACCCTGAAGAGGTGCTTCACAGCGAGCTGCTGCGGCATCGTCTGCGAGCAGATTCTTTCGAAAAGTGCAGTCGGTGGCGTCTTTCCTTCAGCTGTGACAAGGCACGTATGCGGAAATGCAAGTCCTAAACGAGGGAGCACAAGCCATACAGACCAGAAGATGGAGCAGCATCTCGGGAAAGTTGGAATTGAGTCGCTGCTCGTGATAAGCTACCGATGTCACTTCGTCGATGCAACGACAGTCATGCGCGTGACGATCGCAAAACTGGTCTTCACTGAAAGCACAATGATCGCGGTGACCGTCATGATGTGGATGTCATGCCCCAGCGGGTTGGGTTGAGAATCGAGTAGTCAGAGTAGTCACTGTCGGCTCGCCCCTTTGAGTCTCGCAGGCTCAGCTTTGCGATTCAGAGTCTCAGGGGTCCCGGGTTGTTCCGGCTAGCATCAGAGACCTGGATGCAAGAAGGATATCGGGTTCACTCTTGATTAGGCACAGCTGTACGCGGCCTTCTGGAGATCAAGCATATCCGGAAGAAAAGATACGGGGCTTCCCGCTTTAGGCTCTCTTCCTGCAAGGGGCTTTCCTCCCTGCTGCTCCGCAGGAGAAGCTCTCGTCAGCCTTTGACCGTCTTCTGGAGCTGAGTATTGCGCACGCGCTCCCTGACATGTCAAATTGATGGCAGAACAGGGGCGTGTAGGCACTTAAGCAGCAGTGCTTGCCAGAAATTTGTGCCGCGGAATTTCAGTCAGACACTTCGGGTGCCAGTCAGGAAATCCTCTAGCACCGCGGAACCTTGTTTTCAAGACACGTATTTTGCTTCCTGTTAACTTTGAGCGTTGTTTGTGCATGTTATTGGACCCTACTACGAATCGTGTTGTGACATGCTGCGAAGAGGAGGCAAAGCCGAGCTCCCTCACACGCCGCTTTCATGTTTCGAAGCAGCGATAAGGTTCTCTGTGTCGTCGGGTAGTTATTCGTCACGTTTACTTTTTCATGTACCTCACGGTGACCATTACTGCATTCTGCGTGCATCATTTGGAGTTGCAGAAAATCGGACATTGAGAACATCCCACATGTGCATGCTTGCAACTGCTTCCGGACATGAGACTCATGGAGCTTCAGAGCGATGTACCATTGAGGTGCGGGATCGTGGCCACTCGGGTTGTGGTTCTTAGCTCCGGAAGCAGCACCGGCGAGGCATGGGCATCGCTTGGGTACTCGTTGATAGCGTGGCTTTACAGGTTCTGGCCCGTGGATCCCCCTCAAGTTCCGATAACTTCCCCCGGGCCTGAACCGTCGTCCTTGGCTCCTGGTTCGAAGATCGGGAGTGATTGAAAATGTCGGAGTATTGAGCTTCGCGCTGTGAAATCGCACTTCAACTTGCGAGGTGGATTTCACAATTACGGAGGACCCAACGGCTGCATCCCCTTCGGATGTGATCGAGGCAGGGTACCCCATCCAACTCTGTACCTCCAACTCCTACATAGTGATTCAGACCCCCATAGTCGCATTGTGGGTTCCAAGTTTGCTGCACCTCGCAGTTCGCAGTGATTGATCCCGGTCCAAAACGCGAAAACAATCAAACTGCCTGGTTAGTGGTTGGGTGCAGAGAGCTCAGTTACAGTGGACAGTAACCTACCCCTCGGATGGACGTAGGAAAGAAAATCATTAGCGAGTAGAACAGGGGGGCACAGTATTGCTACATCTGTTGTTCGCAGTGCACGCCGTTTCTTTTCTTCGTTGCGTTCTTTCCATATTCACAAGCACCGGGTATCCAACACCTATATACAGACCTGAACCCGTGCTGGCGGAGGAGTTGCGCGATCAGTTGGGCGATGCATTGTCTCCCTTCCGCACCGGCGCCTTCGCGAAATTCGCCTCCTGCGTCTTGCAACTCAGCGGAGTGCTGCCTTCGCAGCACTGCTTGTGGGCGCCGGATCCAGCGGCTCCTTTGGCAGAGGTTCTCGATCCAGTGGCAGAAGGCTTGGGCAAACTGAACGAGCTGACGGAATCAGTGGCCCACCCAGACGAAGAAGAGGAGGACGAGGACGTCGCGAAGCGTCCCGAGTACTGGGGCTTGCGTGTCAGAGATTTGTCCGAGTTCAACACCTCGATTCACGATGATCTTGTCGCATACTGCCAAGACCACCATGTGCATTTCGAGAACGGACACTGCCTCCACCTGTGCAAGCATGGGGCTAATTGCCCCTGGGGTGATCATGAGGGAGTTCTGCATGACAAGACTCGCGATGCATCCCGAATGCCCGGAACGCCGCTGCTTCCGAACATGCATGCGGTGACTCGGCTGCTGCGATTCGAGACAGATTCGGTGATTGTCGCGCTTGAGCCTTGTAGCTCATCAGGTTAGGAAGAGCCCTCCGAGTGCATCCAGAACCGCCCCCCACCGTTATAACCGACCATCACCCGCAAAGATGCGCCCGTACCTACTTCCCACCTCTGCCTTCCTTCCCTTTCTGTGAGGGTTTCATTTCAGAGTAGACGACACTCAGGTTGTGTCCCGGTATGTCAAGCCTCAGACTCGGCCGAAGGGAACATCTTGGGCTGCGATGAAGCTGCTGGGACTACTATCGTTTATTGTCATTATCATTCTTCCTCTTGTTATTAACATTATTACGATTATTCTTATTCCTAACACTTGTGAATTATTATGACTCCTCTTCTTGCTATTATAAGTCGGTTGTCCGGACCGGGTCGGGAAGGCGAAACAGGATCCACGCGAGGGGGGACAGGTGAGATCCGGATGCCCTTCCCTGTAGGTTCGTCATAAGTCCTAAAACTCGGCCTGCGCGATTCACGACTTACAGCTGCCGAGGGCAAGTTCCTAGTATGATTGGGTATGAGAGCTTCGGCAAGTACCGCAATTACTCCTTCAGTCCCGGCTCTCTCTCTCTCTCTCTCTTTCTCTCTTTGTCTCTCTTTCCTTGTATGTATGTATCCGTGTATGCGCATACATAATGTCAACACAAGAACAAACCCACATGCCGTTCTGATTTTATTCGGAGCCAATGAGAGCTATGTATAAACCCTTGCATAGAAAGTTTCAGGGACCCAATTAGATGCCGCAAAAACGTTGCAGAACGCACTAGATTCTAGTCACTAGATGGTATGGGTAGGTAGGTCACAAACACAAATCAAACCGCAGTATAAAGTATAAAGCACCGGGACAGCCTGCAAATCCCAGGTACCCGCAAGGCTGCTAGGATGCACTGAGTTCCTGCTGGGTGGGTGCAGAGATTTGGAAATGCCAATTTGTTGCATTGGGAATCAGGTTTTAGAGAACACGGATGAGACCGGGGTTCAGAAAAGAGGACGGATGATGATTGGTACCGGAATCTGTCCCAGCGTTATCCCTGCTCAGTGCGTGCCCCATCCCAAGCTGACCAGTAATGTAGGGGCCTCAATTATTAGAATAGGGTTTTGGGGATATTATACTGTAATTATTTTAAGGAACCCCCAAAACCCTATTCTAATTCTTAAGGCCCCTACTGTACCAGAGCAGAAGCCTACCTCGCCGTAGCATCGCCTCGGAGCCAAATCACGCCATGCCCGCGCCTGAAACACACCTACAGTTCCTTTGTTTGGTTTAACCAATTTTATATAAAGGAACTACAATGGAGACTATAGGCAGAGGCAAATCGCACCAGAGCCACAGTACAACAACCACTTGAGCATCGACGGGCGCCAGCCGCGGTCCCGCTGGCACTTTGTCGGAGCGGGTGCTGGAGTGGTGGCAAAGAGCGCGTTTCCCGAGACCTTGACTTGCCTTAATGGCCAACTTCGGAGAGATTGCAGCCGTATGCCGCGGCAAGGGCAGACTGCAACTTCGGCAAGAAAGCCCTGAAAAACCTAACTCGCACCGAGACGATCTCTGCTCCTTGGAAGGAATTCGTCCCAGCCGGAGCCTCGACGAAGGTTGAGAAGGCCTCGAAGATCAAGGGCCATAAGGACCAACAGCGCAATCGCGGCTTCGACATCGCCCACTCCGCATGTTCACGTCAAGCGTCACACATGTCGCACTTCAACACGAAATGAGTGCAGTAGCTTCTGCTTGCGGAAGTCGTGTGTGTGACAGCCGCTTAGAGCGTTACAATGTTGCAAGGCAGCCTGTTCCAATCAGTGGATCAGCTTGCCAAGAATCTGCTTCCCCCTTTGCGTGCTGCGAAGTCTCAGCAGGTGAGAGCGGAAGCTATAACGCATTCCTTGCGCCCAGGTTGGCCGGAGAAGTTTCGCGAATGTGTTTGCCAGTTGGTTTTGACGGATGTCAGTAATTCTTCGCATGAAACTGAGTCACTGGCTGCCAGGCATCAACATTATTCATCAACAACAGCATAACCACGGTCATCACCATCATCATCATCATTACCAGCATGAGCACAAGCCTTCATGAACATCACCATCATCAACATCAAGCCCATCGTAAACATCAGCATTGTCATCATCAGGTTCAACTACCGGGTCAGCCAGGCTCTCACTGTATGAATCGTATTGGTGCCAAAACTTGTGAGCAGTAGAGAGTCATAAACATGAACTGCACTCATTCCTTCTGGATGACTTTGTTGCTTGTGGTGTCGCGAAACTTTTCGCTTTTGACATGGTCTCCTCCTGTTGTTCTGGTTGCTCGCTTCCGAACATCCTCTTAGACCAACACTATTTCAAATTGTGTGGCTCCTTACGCTCGCATGCGATTTCTTTGTGCAACACCATACAACCATATATACAACCAAGCTTTAGGGCTTATACGGCTTGGGGTTTTAGGGTGTAGGTTTGAGCAGGAGCAGTGTTTAGCCTCCGACCCTGAGGACTTCGCATCACCCATTTCGTGACGCACACGTGGGAGGAGATTCCAATGACACACAGACTTGCGACCTTGATTGTTTTAGGGGGCCATAACTCCAGGATCGCCGAAAGAGGCTGTTCAGTGGTTGGATACTGCTGTGAGGCGTCAGCCCGGTCCGAACTCCCAAGTAACTCACACTGAGTTTGAATTTGTGCAGGAGCTTTTCTCCGACTTCGTGGGGAGCTTAGAGGCCGCTTTGAGTCCGGACAGCGTGGCTTGGTCGCGAAAGATTCGCAAGGGCTGAGCTGTAGACGGTGGGTCCATCCCTGCAGGCACACACAGGGGCTTACAAACTTGGGAAAGGAAGATGCGGTTAATCTCCTGCTTTCGCATTCGGCGGTGCACCAGCCTGGGAAGCCAGGGCCAAACACGCCTCTGCCGAGGTGGTTTGGGTTTGCAGTCTCGCGTTGAATCAGCGACTTGCTCGCATTCATGCACCCATAGCAGCACTGCAAAGGAGATCGCTTTTTGCCACGATCCCTATGGCACATTCCTCAAGAGGGAATATAGAGAGGAGGATGAAACCTGCGCCACATGGATCACATACGAAACCAATGTCTCAGAAGCCGGGCTCATTCTGGGCACTGCTGGCTTGAGTAAGGCGTGAAGGTGTTGGATGTGATTTTGCCTTTGGTCCTTAAAAATATAACGCAAGGTCCTTAAAAATATAAAAGCATTATCAAAAAGATAAATGACGTGCTGCAAGAAGGAGACCACCAGGGCATGTAAGGCATCAGCTACAGACAGGTTTCTCGTCTCTGCAGCAAACGCACACGCACACGTTGGAAGACAGATTCCATCATGCTTTCGTTACCCTGCTGCCTGCCGAGTAGCCAGGCTCGAACTAGCTTTCGAAAGCCCTGAACCCTTGAGACGGGGCTTGTGAAGTCCAGGAATGCGAACATCACCGAGATGCTGGACGTGGAGCTGTTGAAGCTACTTGCGCTTGCATAGGTTGATGTACCCGGTCTTGCTTCGGATGAAGAACTCGTGTTTTCAAGTTGAGCAGAGAATTGCAAGAACGCATCGCGATCTCTCGCACGCCAAGGACACAATGGATGCATGTCGCGCAAGCAATAGCGTAAATAGCATACAAGGTACCGTGGGAGGCAGTATAGGACTCAGTAGGAGCAATCGAGCAGTGCGCCCATGATGCAGCTTCCCGGGTACTGTAGCATCCGAAAGTACCTGACTGCTGTTTCCAAGGATCTCAGCATCTGCAGATGTGTAACATGGCTCTTCTGTTTCAATACTCGATATATTGATGTCAAGGGCATCCATATCCCATGGAAGCCGCACCTCTGTCTTGTTCGGAGGAATTCGGTTTTGCTGGACACATGCCGTAGAATCCCTTATCTGCCAACCTAACGTCTTGGCATCTCAACCCTGATTCCTGTCTTGCTACTCTTAACCCGCGCTCGACGTCAAAACCTACACGCTGCATCCTGGGTCCGGCTTTCAGTAACAAGCTGATCTGATTCCTATATCGTGCTAGAAGCCGTATGAGCCCTGCAGGTCTCCCTTCGCAGTCGCGCTTCGCCGAGCTTCGCGGCAGCTGGTTCTCCTCGATCGGCCTCCTGGATGCCCAAGATAGTTTCTGCCGAAGTTTTTGTGTTTACTTCGCAGCATCCTGCAGGCGAGGATATCGGGCTCCGTTAGCTATGCCAAAGCCTACGTTTACTTGCCATTGCCGAGCTGGCTTGGCTGTGTTGCTTCTGTTGTTGTCATCACACACCTGGTTCGACGTGATGGGCTTTTTCATGATGCCGTGTCGAAACAATTCGTCTCACTTGCGCTGTGTCCGTTACGAAGGCTTTGTGACATCTCCCGCCTCGACCACGCGAAATTCGGTTCCATGTGCCCCTGCTGCGACCGCGATGTTCTGGACTTGTTCGGCCTCATGCCCTGATAGGGCTCAGTTTGAACTCTGGATTGCAGAGCTTCCGCTGCAGTTACTTCTCTATCACTCCCGACTCGCCGTTCCGAATTGTGGCTTACTACTGGCAGCATGTTCCAGTGCAGCACATCTCCTGCTGCTACCATTCCTACTCAGGTTGGCTATGTGGCCACAAGAATTCCCCCACCACACCCGGCATCGTCACTTTCACATCACAGCATGATTACAATTTGTGAACACATCTGTTTCCAATGATCTAAAGACATCATCAGGGCCAAAATGCACACGTACAGAGTTTGAGCCACCTTTGGAAAACGAACTCGGTGGTGCGACATGTGCGGCTACATAGCGGCTGTGCGCCGGGCAAGTCCACTGGAGCCCCGAAGCAAAAACACAAGGAACGAAGACTCGGTGATGTCGGCATAGCAGTAGCAGGTCTTCAGGCTTCATCGCACCTTTCCTGAACCTACCCTGGTACGGTTCGCGGTGGAGCACTCTCTGTCGATCATCCCTCTCTCTCTCTCTCTATATATATATATATACATATGATTATGTATATATATATATATATACATACATACATACACAGAGAGAGAGAGAGAGATATATATATACACACACAAACATAATGTCAGTATACACATTTGTCATGCTGAGCACCGCACACTTTGGCCATCTCATTGTCGGCGATGGCCTTGGCATTCTTCACGGCCTGGTCTCGGGCTTCCTGCACGTCACGGCAGGCTCACTTCTTGGTGCCTGCGTGTAGGGTTCAGGGTGTAGGGCTTCGGGTTTCGGGTCCTGCATTACCCTAAGGACCCAATGCTATGGGAATTATGGTATATTCCTTATTATGGGTCATGCAGGAATTGTATCATCAACCGTATTTCCTATGTAATCATCTCTTATGGTAGTCC